CTCTGAGCATCCTGACCTGGATAGCTCCTCCCACACCGTGTCATTATCACTTCTGCCTGGGAAATGCCCGCCTGCCTGCAAAGGAGCGGACCCAGGCATAAGTTCTATTAAACATAATAAACAGAAACTGTTCTGGTGATCTGACATTTATCTCGATTTCACCAAACACAATATTTCCTTCTTTGCTTCGCACCAATCAGACCCAGAGCGTAAGCAGCAGGTTGGGGTGGGGCTCCACCCGTACTGTTGCATCATGTTTTTAATGCACAGTCTAAGATAGGGTGAAGGGTCAGGGTCTGGTGGTGGTCAGAGCTTTCAGTAACATCTATCATCCTCGGATCAAACAGCTCCTGTTGGCTGCAGACATAAAAGAAGAAAAAAAAGTTTGACAGTAAAAATGAAAATAAAAGCTGCTTCTGTTCAGAATATAAAGTTTATTCCTCACAATAAGGACAGAAGTCAGGTTTCTAATTAAAGAAGGGAAAAACATTCAGCAGGGAGATGACAACGCCCTTTATTCTAAAGCAAAACCATTTAAAGACTTCATGAAACATATTTTCCTATTGTGGCAAATTATTTATTCCAAGTTAAGTTAATTCTGAATCAAACCAAGATGCTTTTAATGCTCTGAGAAAGGGTTCAGTTTCCTATGGACAAGTGGAAGAAACTGGAAGAAAGTCCTGCTAATAGATGGGATTGTGGAGAAGTGGGATGGTTGCATTGAAAAGTCAGCTCATTATCCACCAGGGAGGCAGCATGGAGGAAAACCACGCTGGGAATTACATATTTAGCACCGAAGTCATCATTTACTAATAGCATTTAAATGGTAAGAAAACTCAGATTCCACCAGATGACTCTCTTTTTCTTTCATTTCTTCTGCTCTTCCTGCCCCCAAACCCAGGGGCGGAGCTAGATGGGGGGCCAGGGGGGGCCATGGCGAGTCTTATCCAATCATTGCCGCCCCTGTGGCCACCCCTACCATTCTTTCCCTCTAAAACATACGATGGCAACAGTAATACTATCAAGTTGAATATTAAAAACATTTTAACTTTTTATATATTAACAATTACCTGATAATAAAAACATTTTGGTTAATGATGCAGATCAATATACTGACATTAAAGATGATAAATATAGAATTAACGTTCTTTTCAGAACTAGATTTTGTGTTTTATGGGGTAAAGAGAAAATCACGTGTCTCTGTAAATCATCTAAGAGTCTTCAGTGAAATCATAGAAAAATAACTATTTTAATAAAAACTCATTAAATAATCAATTCATGTAGATATTAGTAGTTGTAAATATGAGTTTTATGCAGAATGATTATTAATAAAAGTAGGTCAATAATGACAATGGAAAAGATTTACGCCCCAGAACTGAAACTTGAAAGAGTTTTATCCACTATACCTTTAATTTAAAAAGCACGGATGTTTAAATATATGCGTCTATTTGTTAGAAAAGACTGCAGCAAAGAATAGCTTGTCTTTATTTAGAGAATATGGATGTTTTGCTCGTTAATTTTCCTGTAGGATCAGTGTAGATTGACCCTGAGGTTCAGCCCTCAGTGTATGTCGGTTATTGGCTGGACAGCCTTATTAAAATGTTCTGGCTACGCCTCCACCCAACCGCCCCCGCTTTATAAATATTCAACCCCACCTCATGGTTATTACTGGGTCTGGGCCTCCTTAAGGCAAAATATTCACCAGTAAATATGACATTCCAGGTTCTTCTGGTAGAAACTTTTTGTTTTGGAAGACAAAAAAAAAAGAAAAAATCCTGGAAAAAACCACCAGGCAGAAGAAAGTTCCAACCCTGCTCTGAGATTAAGATTATAATCCATTGAACTACCCTGTTACAGCTCAGTTAGATCAATGAAACGTCTTTAAGTTTATCTATGAAAAACTTTTCTTGAGCTCAGTACAGGGAAAACCCAGAAACAAACTTATTAGAAGCTGCAAAAGACTTTAGATGTTCACCTTCCAGTGAGAGAAATCTGAGAACAGCAGATCTATAGGAGGTTGACCTTAGATCAAAGCATGTGTTAGAGCGGCCTAGTCAAAGTCCAGATTTACGTCCAGTAGACAAACACGAGTTTATCACATAAAAAAATAGTTTCTAGATATAATGCAGTAAAGCGTAGATCTACAAAGTACAGACTGAGGGGCGCTAATATTTGGAAAACAAAAACTGAAACCCATCTTTTCTTCAGGATGATCAATTTAAACTTTCCTTTATACACGTCTTCATGTTCCCTGAATTCCGCGTGTCCGGTGACACGAAGGGGAAATACTTCAAAGGGTGTGAATACTTCTGCCACTCGTTGTTTTAGCTTCTGTTTTATTGCTAACTGACTCTACTGAGCCTGACTTGGATCATTTAAAGGCTTCCTCTTTCCCTCCCAGATCTGCTGTTCCAGCTGTTGTCCTCTGGGTGGCGCTGCAGGAACCCAAGATCAACAGAGATGGAAGGAAAGTTGATCTCTGAGCCATTCTGGATTAAAAGCTCTACATTAAAACAAAAAAAAGGATTGAATGTAATATTTAAAATCATTTTTTTATATTTATATATATATATATATATGTGATAAATGAGAGGTTGTATTTAATCTTTTTTTTAAGTTTATAGTGAATCTAGTGCTTCTAGGTCTGTTTTAGTTTCACTGAAGGTTGAGTTTGATGTGAGAAAAGCATCAGAGGTTCTGCCCAGAAGATGGAGACCAAACGGGTTCCTTTACAGAGACCAGCTAACCAGAAAGCCTCCATCCGTTATGTCCAGGTCTGGTCCAGGTGTGGTCCAGGTCTGTTCCATGTCTGGTCCAGGTCTATTCCAGGTGTGGTCCAGGTGTGGTCCAGGTCTGTCCCCGGTCTGGTCCAGGTCTGTTCCAGGTGTGGTCCAGGTGTTGGCGGCGGTGATGTCACAGCTGCTGTGGATCTCAGAGGTCAGTCAGAACTCTGGGTTCTATGAGAAACCTTCATCCGCATCAAACAGGACCAGACCAGGAAGTGCAGATAGATTTCTATCAGAGAACAACTTGAGGAGAACCAGAGGAGAACTTGAGGAGAACCAGAGGAGAACTGGAGGAGAACTGGAGGAGAACCAGAAGAGAACCGGAGGAGAACTTGAGGAGAACCAGAGGAGAACTTGAGGACAACCAGAGGAGAACCAGAGGAGAACCGGAGGAGAACAAGAGGAGAACCAGAGGAGAACAAGAGGAGAACCGGAGGAGAACCAGAGGAGAACTTGAGGACAACCAGAGGAGAACCAGAGGAGAACCGGAGGAGAACAAGAGGAGA